AAGCAGTTGAAAACCTTATGTGACGTATGGGAGAGAAACACCAACCGTACATGTTTACTTGTTAATACCCCATTATTTTACTTATTAAGTTGTATTATGATTAAAGGGAGCAAAGTTTTTGTAAAAAATAATAATATTCACTATCCAGAAATATTTGCTTCTCACAAACGTTCGTCCTTCACGTCAATGAAGTCTCTCTATTGTAATGAAAAAGTTAGTTAAAATAATTGTACACGCACTACATATTTCTTCACATCTACATGCGTTTTCTTATGTGGTTGTGTGAAAAATCAGGACTATATTCCGTACAAAATATTCTTACTGCGTCGTGAACTTGACACGTTTTGTTCTGCCTCTACGTTAATAATAACGTAGAAATAAGTACAACTACTATTATTTTATTCCAAATTGCATTTTCTAAGTTTGTGAGTTTGTTCATTAGTTCGTAACTCATTGAGTCTCGTCTTCTGCTTGGCAATAAATACTTTTTTATTATTAATAATAATTATGCATTAATAACAATTATAAAAATATATTGTTAAATACAATAATTATTATTGACACAACTTGACACAGTTGCACTTTAAAATAAAGAGAAATTATATACAACTTTTGAGTGTTCGTATTTCTCCGGGAGGAGAGTACAGATCAGTCGCGGATCAAGCCGCACAAATCTTCGGGGTTGTCTTGCGCTCGACGGAGTTATATTGGCAAGAAAATGAAACTAGTTTTGTAGTTTTATTGCAATACGTGCGGCATAGATTGAAATGTGCAGAATAAGAGAAAAGGATAATTAAAATCAATGTTCTTTACACTTCTGACATTCAAAAATTCATGCTTCTAAGCGATACAAATGTTGCTTAGTAATTATTCTATATCTTATTTACCTAATAAATTAAGTGACCTAATTAAGAATAAAAGGTAAAAAATAAATAAATAAACTGAGAACTTCTACAGTATTTTCATATGAACTGTTCAAAATGACAGCCATGCAAAGCAAACTTCCACTCTTTTCATTAAGAATCACTGCGAGCAATTACACTTGCACTCCCCGGGTCAGTTCCATGGTTTGATGCCGCTTTCGCAGAAAGAATAGAATTTATGACTTTTTTTCCTCCCAGAAATCAAAAGTTTTTCCGGCAATCTAGGTTGCCGGAAGAATCTTAATAGCTGAAAGATTCCATGGCACTACACGATAAAAAAAACTAGCCTCTGTACTCGAATGTGTTCGAGCACCATGAAAACGACTTAACTAAACCCAAGAAAGAAGTGACATTTCTGTCACTTGTCATTGTCCGCCGCGCCTTCTCCGCTCACTATGTTCACAAATCTTTATCGCAGTTTGCGCTCGGAAATATTTCGGGCAGCAAAATCACCTTACGGAGAAAACTATTATTTATTTTCGTACTACACAACAGGAAATGAAATTTTGAAAATGTATTTCGTAATTGTAAGTATTGGAAGTAAAAAAGGCATGCATCATGTTGAAAACCAGAAGGTCTCTGAAGGAATCTAACAAATACGGTTTTAGCGTTATAAACATTTACTTACATTCTGTAAAAGAAAACTTGTTTCAGGAAAAAACATTTTTGGATTTGTTGATAAATCAGAATAACTCTGTACATATTGTCTCTGATTTGTGACTCACCTGCATGATCATATAAATGAAGTCTTTTACGACACATGAACGAAGGGGTATAGACTGAATAACAAGCGCAACTGCCATGACTGAGTGAGTTATGTTTTTCGTGCTCAACTACTTTGATCATTAGTCTTGCGAATGTAGTGCATATTATAGCCAGGAGGTGGCGGTGTTCCTCCCCTGCTGGAACGGGATATCCAGCGTTGACCTACACGTCAGTTTGCGAGGTTTTAACTCTTCCAGATATCTCTCAGAGGGTGCCGCCCCAGCTGGGACACCCTCTAAGCTCCAGATTGGTCTTCGGAAGTGTGTGGAAATGTACCGCATGTGTGTGTGTGTGTGTGTGTGTGTGTGTGTGTGTGTGTGTGTGTGTGTGTGTGTGTGTGTGTGTCTGTTTAAGAGGTAAGGATGGGAAGATCGCTCACAGTTCACGATCCGTTTGTTAGGATACTGCTTCGGGATTCGTCTGGTATAGATCGGAGAATCCACAGAAAACTACCGATCAGAACAACCTACCGCGAATGGAATTCTCCTCCGGATAACAGTGGCATTCGACCTATCTTCTAGTGTCGAAAATCCGACACAGTAGAATCCCAGGTCCTACAGCGGCAAACAAAGACACTACAGCCGCAACTGATGTCACAGAGCCATTTCAGCCGGTGCGCGCCTGGCCTTGACATTCACTAACCTGCACAAAACTGCTGTGCCCGAAGGAAACGCAGTCTCCGGTCGCAATAGCCCACGTCGTCAGTGACAAACCAAGCTTGGAGGCGCCTTGGGACATGGACGGCCCTTCCTATTCCAATGGAGTGGCGTAGCCAGAGATGGGACACCACTCCTCCGTTTCAACATGGAAATTTGTATTGTAGAATTATCGAAAATATTATGCTAAAAATAAAAAAAAATTATGTTAATTATACACGTTAAAATTATTTCTTATAATAAATAGTGGGTACTGGAAATGTCTCAAATGAGGTTACAATCACATGGCATTTCAACAACGACGTAACTTCCCCCACCCGGACCAGAACAAAATAACAATAAGTTTAAATACAAAGTAAAATCTTTTCTGCTGTATTACTGTTTCTGAACAACTAGAGACTATACTGGCAATCAAAAAGAAAATTAAGATTTATTTTAACAATGATACATTTGTTTAAATTTGTATTGCATACTTTTCAAAAATACTTAATACGTCTGTAACAATTAATGCACTTCAGCTTTTGGGTCAATGAGCCCTATCTCGATCAGGTTTTGCGCCAGTTTACCTGATCGATTGAGAAATTGCTTTGATTACTCCTTGTTTTACTTCTGGGCATACTAAATGTATCTTCACTGTGCGCACGTTTTATTGAGTTCTCCTTTTTCTAGTTGTAAGAGTAGAGTCGGAGGAGTGGATTTCTATTTTGTTGGCAACATTAAAATATAAGATATGTAGTTCGTTTATCGATCCAAATAAGTTCGTTCTCGAGAACAAAATTGTCTAGTTTCTAAATGTTGCTAACCTCGCTTTGTTGGTACTATTATTTATCGTTAAACTATTTATGGTTAAAGGGAGAGGATGAGATTCTGGAAATTAAGAAAACTAGCGCAGATTGTATTTCCCCCTACAGTTTACATACTCTTTTTACTGGTATTTGACGAAAGTAAATCAAATCTAATAAAAAGATGTTGCTATTTTCGCGCGACCCCAGTTCAACTTCCCATTGCTGGGAAGTTTCGTTTGGTAAGAACTTTTTGTATCACAAAATGCGAACTTCTATGTTCAAATTAATGTGGTTAGACGACAACATGTTGGATAGCGTGAAAAAATGAATAATTTATTTCAAATAAAAATTAATAATATTCGCTCCAAATACTAATTATTTTTTGACAAGAAGCCCTCTCAACTTCTTCAATCATGTATTAGAAGAAGATAATTATCAACAAATTACGCGTTTTGATGTTTTATTGCTTCTTATATTTAGGTATAGCCAATGTTATGTGTTTTCTTATCACATTTAAGGAAATCGTAATTATTTCGTGCTAGTGTTGATGATTCATAAATATTGGGTCGGATCTCAACATTCTATCTGAAGAGCAAATCTTGACGTTTTCGCGAATAAATTACGCGAGAAAACATTACATTCAAAGTTTTAAATATGAGAGCTACGAGAGGGGTTGCAAGGGAGTTTCATTTCTCCGTTCTGGTGGTAACTAATCTGCTTTGATATAATTTTAATGAACCAGATTTATTAAAATTCAGAAAATACTATTGTCGATGACATAAACAAATATGGTTTTAAATGAGAAGAATTGTTTTTTAGGACCTTGTAGATGCACCTCATGTGTCGGCGCCAATTGTTAGATGGGGTGTAATATAGGCATTCGTGTGTCACAATTTTCAGAACACAAATGCAAATTTGCTACTGAGTACTGCTATTGACTTGTTTAAAAGTAATAGTTTCTTTTTTTGTTGGTGAATAGGTAAAGATATAAAAAATTAGTTTTTTAAAAATTTCGACATCTTTCCGTCAGTTTTCCACTTTCTTTAGTGCCCACATTTAAGCAATTCTCATAAGAGTTGAATAAAGGCTACCATGTTCCAACAATAGCGAGTGGTTCAGCTCTTTAAGCCATTTTACTAGACCTATTGTGTCTGGAATTCTTTACCACTGGAAAATTGTCTTCCAAAGTTCTTAATTTTTTGTGTAAAGAAATATTTTTCTTTGGAAAATAAACATATTTCAGTCATGGAAAATTGAATTATTTGCCTTATTATTTGGCCTATGTTATTATTTCTATGTAATTGTACTATTTGGTCTATTTTATAAAAACACAATTACTTCCAATCCTTGGCTAATCTCTTAATTAAAAATGAATAACAAATGATTTCCTTTGTGGAGAAATCAGATAAACTAGGCACTGCCACTTCTTGAAGAATGTTTATTATAAGATGTAAAAATACCTTGCTTCAACATATAATAATAATAATAATAATAATAATAATAATAATAATAATAATAATAATAATAATAATAATAAAATAATAATAAAAGTCTGGGTCAGATTGTTTAAGTAGTGCAAACATTTGTTTTCACAAGTACATGTTTGATGTAGTGGTAATTGTTGAGTGTTCGTTGTTCTTTGTACATAAAGAAATTATGCAATTGAAAATTTGCTTCAAATGCATGATTGTTGGAAAACATTAACATAATGAGTCAATTACATGTCAGTTGTGTCAATAATATTCAGGCATCAACTCATTATTGCTAAGAGTGAAAGACAAAAATTGATTATGAAACAATCAATTAAAACAAATTAGATCTATGCATAGAAGCATAGAAATATTCCATTGAGATATTTTTTTAAATTTCAGCCTCCATAATGCAAGGCCCAAATGGCATGCAGCCTCCAGTCAATGCAATAAAACTGGAAAACCCCAGTTACTACTGCAATAGCTATACTCCTCCAGCTACTGACCACACTGCAATGATGGCATCTGGAGCTTACAGTAAGTAGCCTACTTTTTCTGCTGACAAAAACATGTCATTGTGAGCATTTTATTTCATTATTTTATTAAACTAAATATTTATCAGCCCTTGTTATATTGTGTCTTTATGAAATACAATATCAAACACAAATACTTAATTGAAACCTCTCAAAACCTAGTAACTGTTTGTCAAGGAACTGAATGTTATTCAGTAGGTAAGATGTTTTCATTCTGTTTAGTAGGAAACAATGCTAAAAGCTTGCTCCATACATATTCATTTCAATACTACGATAATGAAATTGTATGTATCATTACTACCTATCCACATGTAGATGGAAAATGTTTTCATGCCATTTAATTTTTCACGTTCAGAATTCATAAAATACAAAGAACACAGAAAATAAATCTTCAATTTTCTATTCATATATCACTTGATCTTTTCAATGACATAGAGAAAATAATTTTTGCCATTGTTATTATCCATGTGTGTGGCTACAATGAATCTTAGTTATCTGCCTGGTTTACTTTGTTTTTTCCAACTTGCATGCAGTGGGACTAATTCTCGCTGAATTTCTTATTGCTCATTATGTCTGTATTGGCTTTTCAGACCTTTTACTGCTTGCAATTTGCTTATTCAAAAGCTTAATTTACACTGAGTACTAAGTCAGTTTGCTTTACGTTCCCTAATTTTACTTGCCAATACCGACAGTTCAATACCATTATTTGCAAATATATTATCTGATAGAAGTAAAGGATACAGCCATCTATGAAGGAAGATGACTAAGATCTGTTCTGTCAAATAATTGAGTGTAATTTGAGATGTTAATTTCCAGTCAGGACTAATTTTCAAAAAAGCCTAGTTTATTATTGGTTTTGACATTTATTGATAATTTAGGTAGTATATTGTATGAAACTGTCAGGATTTTTTTTCATCTCCTATCTCACTACCCTTTTATTTAAAAAATGAGAACTACTTATTTGCTATAAAATATTCTAAAATCTTTGAAACAGTTTAAGGTTGCAACAGACATTCTAAGCAAGACATGTCAATTAATATTACATGTGAGTAATATACTTGGCAAATTGTAGATTATACATAGCCTAACAAAGAAACTGAAACTACTTTCATTTGAAACAGGTATTTTTCCTTTTATGATAAAAAAAACATGGTCATGTTTTTACGTTAATTGAATGTACTGGAAAAAATGAGCATTTTAAACTATAGAAAATATTTTTGTATTTCCTCCCTTGGAAGTAATTCAACATTTTAATGAAGGAACTACTGATACTTTAAATTTCACAAATATTTATACCACGTAAAGAGAATAACATTTTTTCATAGATATTATGACATCAATTTTATTTATGACTGTGCAATGTATAAATATATTTTTGCACTTAAAAGAACCGTTTCAAAAACAAAAATAATTTCAAAATGTGAAAAGCAAGAAACAATAAGAGATGAAGTAGGATTTAATTTGGAAACAAAATTGGGTAAAAGAACTGAATTAATTTTGATGCTTTCTAAAATTTCACATTTTCTATAATTGATCACAATAATTAATTAATTAATTAATTAATAAGAATGAATAAGAAGAAAATATGTACATTAATACTTGTGAAAATCTCTCAACAAAAATTACTTTTATGTGCTTTGCATAGTTCTCGTGTATTGAAAAAATATAGTATTCTTCATTTTCTCTTTAAAGTAACCATTTGGCCAAAGAGCATTGTAATATTCCAGCTTGGTTAACTGGTCCAATGTATAAAATCAGCACTTGAGGCAACAGTGAAACAGTATTACCAATCATTTCCAATTCCATTTATGATGTATGCAAATCAGACTTAGAAAAAATACCTGTGTTCTTAGATTTAGCATCAAGAGGCCCATTCTGCTTGCAGACTTATCAGAGATTCTACTATGGTTTACAAATTTCAAGAGGTGAATACATTTCTAGTATTATTTGATTCCAATGAAATTAAATAAGCTGTATTTAAACATGCTTTGACCGTTAAAAATGTAAATACTATGCTTTTTCTTTTGGAAGTATAATCTCTGCAATAAAATTCTAAATTTTATACTGTTACATTTTTTAATTGATTTATTACAGATTAGATACTATGTGAAGCCCTGTTGTTGTTCACATGTAATATATTCACTTAAACTGTGCTTCCATAATTTTGTATGTGTTAAAAATCCAGCAAGACATTTTTTTCTCCAGATCAATAAATCATATCATGTCCCAGTTTTCCATGTATCAGATAACTTAATTCATTGATTCATTATTGTAAAATGGGTTTTGTGGCCTGTACTTGAGGTCATGTGCGTGTACATGCCACAGGCCCACTGTCGCTGCCTCGCAGCTCACAGAGTCCAAGTGAGCCTCGTCACAAGCGACCACGCCGACTCAGCTCCACTGAAGATGACATGGAGCTTGGCCCTCGTGACAAGGGCAGCGAGGTGGCCTACTATGGCCAGAGCCCAGCGTCACTCTCCAGCCAGACCAGCTGGCACTCAGATGTCGACCACGGTGGGTTAGGTACTCCAGCCTTTCTCTCTTCTGCTGGCTCCTTTACCTACTAACATACCTCCATCCCGAGCTTCCTTGTATTCTGTTGGATCTGTTATGCATGCAAAGCATATATACTTCGACAAGTTGGCAATTAAACAAAGTAAATTTGAGCTCTTGGCCAATGCTTTTTGTATGGTAAGTTTCTTTTGTAATATTTTTCTCATGTTTCTTTAATTTTTTGTAGTAAAATGATTCAATCAAAATGTTCATAGTTTGCATAAATTACAGTTAGATATAAAGTAATAACGAAACAGAATGAAATTCAATTACTTATGAAATCTAAATTTGTTTTGACTATTTTGGTTGTGATTAGTGGTGAGAAAGTTATTATGATTTGTATGGTCAGTTTTCAATTTGTTTGCATAAGACAACTAACAGCATGGGGCCCAGTTTTGGTTTTTCTGTGCCTGGTGTTTCATTTAAGAAAACAGTGTGTAACTGTACAGTTATGAATGAGGTGTAAAATATTCTTGTTTCTTATTCCAGTATAAATTTCTTCCTCACCTGAACTTAAAACTAATTTGTGTACAGCTTCTTATCAATCTGAGCACTTGGTCACTGGTATAATTACATTTTACAACACGTTAGTTTTTGAACATGTGGTGTATTGTGATTCATGTCTTCTTACCGTCTTTGGTGGGAACTGATTCATTCCTTGAAATAATGATTTTAATGACAAAAATACGAAATAATTTTCATGTTCAGATTCTTTAAATAAGTCAAATGAGGGCCTCAGTGTATGTTGTCTTATTTTCTAGTCCAAGATAGTCTAGTAGTGATGAGCTTATAGTAAAATACATGCATGCATGTTGCTGCCTTCAGCCATATAGTTACGTAAGTTAGTAATAAGAATAGACAGTAATAAAGATAGAAGTAATATTGATAGGATAGAGTAGATAAGTAGGTATAACTTACAGTAACAGTGAAATAAAAATTCAATTACAAGTCCATGAGTACTATTTTGGAGTGGGAAGTATTGAAATAATTTCTTTGATTTTGTGCTCATATAGTCCTGTAGTATGACTAAAAAAAAGAAAATCAATAAAAGAAACTTGTGTCTGAGAAGCAGGCAGAGGGGAGGTGGCAGGTTTAGTACCGGTCCTTAGCGCGGCACTTGCTTGCAGGTTCACCCCACCTGGTGCATGAAGGGAAGGTTGTGACGCCAGACACACCCCTCAGGCCCCTCACCGCGTCCACTACTAATGAGGAACCTCCTTTATCTAGCGATGTGCACCCCAGTCAGGAAGGTAGGTAGGGGCAGGGAACCATGCGCTCCTCTTCTCGAATGCACCAGGTGGCTGGGTG